ATAAAAAAAAAAAAAAAAAAAAAAAAAAAAAAAACTTTGAAATAAAACTTGGGACCTTCTTTTATCATGAATATGTGATTTCTATTAATTCAAATTGCCAAAATTGTCGAAAGAGCACAAGGCAAATAACCAATCCATCGTCTCATGGGAAAAATTAAGCAAACCAAATAGATGCAGCTTGTAGGATACTTTATTCCCCTTATGAGGAATAAAGCAACATGGACTAATCCCTATGTCTAAACATAAAGAAACAATTTTACTGAAAAAAACAGCATTCGGGACACAATTGAAATCCTTCGGACAGCTCTAAACTACGTTGATCCAATCGGTCTTCACTGCACCGATTTGGATGCCACATTCCTTGGAAAAAATCAAGCCCTCTCGAGCAATGGTTTCAGTGGTCTCAACAGGAAACAAGCCTGGCAACCTCTTACACTGCACAGGGATCACCACACCATATTCTTTTTGAATCACAACTCCGACTCTAATGAGTTCTTCCTCCTTGCGTACCACCACATCAATGTTCAACTTAAAGAGCCCACTACCTGGAGGTACCCATCTGACTGGAGTTCTTGACTGACTCCCTTCAAGTAGGTCGTCTGATTCTGTGTTAGTTCATTTTTCCTATCCATCCACATTGTCAACTAGCACCCCGACTCCCTAGCCAACAAACCGTGGACGACAATACTTTGGTCACCTCAAATCCTCAACATTGCACACTCAATTTGGCTTAGTTAATCTCTCGTGCATAATTTCGAGTTTGCAAATAAGGCACCCTGGCCTAACATCATTGTCCAACCAGCAACCCTTAATAACTTGATACCACCCCATCTCCATCCAAACATTCTTGGCAGCCATACTCGTGAATATAGATTGACTCTTTGCCTCCGATAACCTATATCTCCCATACTTCTCCTCCACCATCACCCTTCGTCTCATAAGATTATACTAGGTGTTAAAAAAATAAATCTCACATCGAATAAAGATTAAAATGTACCAACATATAACTATTTTTCACCGAATATTGCCAGTGCAGCATTATGCTAAATTAATTTATCTGCCTCTTGCCCCCGGCCTAATGGAATAGCTGAAAATTGGCTCACAGTCCAAAGTGATGAACAGCCATTGGCTTTTAGTTAATTTCCAAGATTATGTTACTGTCACTAACCTTTACCTCATTGGAAGGTGGTGAAATGGGACGGAAATTTGGCTCTTTAGGCAGCATTGTATGCACGTATTCACGTTTGAAATTTGTTGCCTAAGCCAATGGGCTATTGAGTCTCTTAAGCATTTTCTTAAGAGCAATTTAAATCCGAGCTTAGTATTTAGCAATAGGCAAGTGTATTCCCTGATCTGATCTGTCGAAAGAATAAATTGAGCATTCTAATGTTTTGTATGATGAAACTGAGAGGGGAAATCTCCGCTAATAAAGTTTTATAATTTCATCATCGACGGTTTGTGGAGCCAACTTTCAATTCTATTTCTCTCTTTCCAGCCAATTGTTCATGTTTTTTGTTTTCGCTATGCTTTTGGTTGGATTTTTTTCCAATAGGATGGCTTTAACTACGATGTTGATAAAGTTCTCCTTGCCGCACAAAAATATTTAGCTCTCTCTATATTTGAATTTTATTTCAAACATTCTCCTTATGTTGGGAAAAAAATCCCACCAGAGGGACTACAAGAAATTAAAATCCAAAACAAGCATGAAATGGGAATATATATATATATATATATCGACGCCTCAATTGAAACGACCCGACCCAAAAAGTTAATTGGGCCATTTAAAGCAACCTAATTAATTTGTGCTGTTCATGGCCCGGTTCTTCACTTACTTGGATGGCTAATAGTTTGGAGATCCACTTGATAACCCACTTACTATCAATTGGGCCCTCAACCATTATAGTGATCTAATGGACTTACCTTATTTATCCAATTGGTCTGCTTATATTCTTGTGCTCTCTACGGCCTCAAATATGCCATGCGTATGTGGGCGATATCTCTGGCTCTCTCTAGTGTCTCTGCTTCGTTCTTCTCACAACATTTGCGGTCTTCTTCTTTCTGATTCAACCTTCCTTTGTGGTAGTTCCCTAAGTGTGAACATTTACAAACCGTAAGTGAGCGCTTTGAGGAGATTGGATCAGTTTTGGTTGGAGGTGTTGATTGATTGTGAAACTGACCCTGTAAAGTCTTGGTGGCCATCAATTTTTTCTTTCTTTTTTTTTTTTTTTTTTTCTCTACAATTTCTAATTCGCAATTGGGCTACCATTTTCTTTTCTTCTACTGTTTCTCTATCTGTGTTTGTGTGTGTGTGTGTTATACATTAATACTTACATATCCTTCAAGGTTTATGGCAGTTTCCTTTTTCTAATTAAATCAGGTATCCTTTTCCGAATTGTAAATAGATTATTTTCCTAACTGCAATAAAGTCATTTTCCTCATGAAACAAAATTCTTTTACTTTATTACAATATTTCTTTTTTGTTGCCAAAGAGAAATTTTATTTTATTTATTATTATTTTACAATATGGCTCTTTTTTTTTTTTTTTTCAAATTGTTGGAATTTTGTCTATGAAATTGGTTTTGAACAATTTTTAATTGTTTACGGGGAAGTTGTCATTTTGTGAATGAAAAATTAAGCCAAGTTTAAGTTACTTAAATACGTAAATTATTGAAAAATTATGTAGAATATTATGGAATATTCTAAAAATTATTTGGTTGAAAAGGTATCTCTCTATATAAAAGATTGTGATTTTTAATATTATCATTTTTCAAGAGACGCCTCTCTTCGAATATAGAGACTAATTTCAATAGTTGTATCTCTTCCATAAGTTATATCTTTTGAGACAAACATTTTCAATATCTATATATAGATCCCATGTGTTTATTTTCATTCATTCATTTCATGGTTGCATTATCATACTAATACATATTCACTTCAAAATTTTGCATTTATTTGGAGTCAAGTTTCATATAAAGAGGGTTCAAAACATAAGTAGGTTTGTTGGTCCACATAATTTGAAGTGCTCCTATTGCGAGACGTAGTCGTTGTATGTTGGGAGATGAATACTAGAAAACCATTAGCACTAGTGCGGGATATTATAGTCTTAAGGACAAATTGTTGAACTCTTGCCTCGACCAAATTCATATTAATGCATTTTTCGTTTCTACTTTACGTATTTGATTTTGGTAAGTCGAAATTATGTCCGATGTTATGCACATGAAAGACATGTTATTTGAATATAATTTTATGCACGTCTAATTTTTTCCAACAATTTTAAGATGATAATTTTGTTGGAATTTTGTATATGAAATTGGCTTTGACCAATTTTTAATTATTTACATGGAAGTTGTTATTTGGTGAATGAAAAATTAAGTCACTTAAATACGTAAATTATTGAAAAATTATGTAGAATATTATAGAATATTCTAGAAATTATTCTGCTGAAAATGTATCTTCCTATATGAAAGATTGTGACTTTTGGCAGTATCATTTTTCAAGAGATGTGTCTCTTCAAATATAGAGACTAATTTCAATAGTTATATCTCTTTCATAGGTTGTGTCTTTTGAGACAAACATTTTCAACATCTACATACAAACCCCATGTATT